TTATATAAAGTTGAAAAATAGAAACTAAAAACTACTTTTTAGTGATACATAAATAAATATTACTTAAAATAAGAAAGAAAAGTAAGGAAATGATTAACCCCAAATGCAGGGTAATCATTACCTTTAGGAGGGAGGTGACTTCAAAATTTATGGGACATGATGAGGGTTCATTGTACTGTTATCCTTTACACTTAACATATATTTAAAATTTTTTTTATTTGAGAGACAGAGAGAGAGAGAGAGAGAGAGAGAACGGTGGAGGGGCAGAGAGAGAGAGGGAGACAGAGAATCCGAAGCAGGCTCCAGGCTCTGACCTGTCAACACAGAGCCCGACATGGGGCTCAAACCCACAAACCATGAGATCATGACATGAGCTGAAGTCGAATGCTTAACCAACTGAGCCACCCAGGCGCCCCTATACTTAACATATGTTTTGTAAATGCTATTTTGTTTTACTCAATTTTAGTAAAACATCTTAAAAGGGAAAACAATTCATTTCAAAAAACAATAAAGCAAATGTTTACTTTGTGTTGATCACGAATAGACACCTGTTTGAGGGGAAAAAAGTTCTAATGGGAGTCTGGGTAATTGTGGATAGGATCATTTTACATACCTGGATTTTAAAATCTGCTGATGGAAGTGTAAATTGGTACACCCATTTTGGAAAACTTGACCAGATCTACTTAAGTTGAGCACACATTCTATGACTTGATAATGACACTTCTTGCTATATAACATCAGATCTGCAAACATCTGTGCACCAAAAGGTGTGTGCAGGAATAGTCTCAGAAATATTATTTGAGGGGCACCTGGGTGGCTCAGTCAGTTAAGCGTCTGACTTCGGCTCAGGTCATGATCTCACGGTTCGTGGGCTCGAGCCCCACGTCGGGCCCTGTGCTGACAGCTCAGAGCCTGGAGCCTGCTTTGGATTCTGTGTCTCTTTCTCTCTCTCTGCTCCTCCCCCACTCACACCCTGTCTCTCTCTGCCTCAAAAATAAACATTAAAAAAAAAAGAAATATTATTTGATGAACCAAAAGGGTCATCAGCAGTATCTTGGATAAGTGAATTGTAGTGTAGTAATGGGATACTTTACGGCAATGAATATGAATGGGTCAGAATGACTCTCAGACATAATGGAAGTGAAAGACAAACAAAAGAGTATATGCCGTACGGTTCCATTTATACAAAGTTTAAGGCAAACAGTCTCACTTATGATGCTGGAAACCAGGGATAGTGATGCCATTTAGTGGGGAGGGGAAGCGTGGTGATGAGGATGGTTTCTGGGGTGTTGCTAAAGCTCTATTTCTTGAGCTGGGCAGTGCTTACAGGGAGGGGCTCATTTTGTGATAACTCATCAAACTGTACATGCGTGATTTGTGTGTTTTTCTGTATATTATACAGAAAAGGTTGAATTAAAACCATATTTTGAAAAATCTGAAAATAGAAAAGTAAATGCGTTACAGCAAGCAAGATGTGAGCTCGGGAAGCGTTGTTAGCTGACCCAAGAAGGTATGCACTTATGGTTCCACACCATTGCCACTGTGGGCCTAAATTTCCAGAACTCAGTCTGTAGTAGACTCAGTAAATCCCCGCTGATTCAAAGAATATTCCTGGCACTAACATGGGAATGTGCCATTGGGTGTGGCTGGGGACTGTCTCCAGGGAAAGGGGGGCCACTTCCCTGGGGGAACACACAGGCCAGACTTCTCATCAAAAACCTAAACCCAAGGGTAACCGAGGCTACATTTCCCCTCTCGTTCCACCTTGTAGTGTGGTGGGGAAGGGAAGGGGTGTTAGGTACTGTCATTTATTCTCCAGTTGATCATCCCTAGCCTTTTTAAAAAAAAAAAAAGATTTTATTTTCAGTAATCTCTACACCCAGCGTGGGGCTCAAACTCACAACTCCAAGATCCAGAGTTGCATGTTCCACCGACTGAGCCAGCCGGGTGCCCCAGATAATCCCTGGCCTTTAAAGACACAAGACAGCCTGGTGACTAAGAGCATAGGGCCAAAGTTCAGGCCGTTTGAGTTTTAATCCTGACTGTACTTATTAACTGTGTAACATTGAGCAAGTCGCTTAACCTCTCTGTGCCTCAGTTTCCTCATTTGTAAAATAGAGACAATGATGATAATTCCCTCACAGTTATTGTGAGAATTAAGCAATGGAACCCATGTAATATGTTGAGAGCATCGCTCTCAATAAATGTTAGCTGGTTATTATTTAGTAGTCACCTAGAATGACCTGCCAGGAATGAATGAATGATCCCCTCTGTTAAACCTGATTCCCCTGAGATCTTAGCCTTGTTGCCTCCATCGGTTTCACTGGGATTGCCTTTCTCTGCTGCCTTGTTCTGTGACATGGTCCCTGTCCACCTTTCTAGGCCCATCTCTTGCTGCCCTGGGCCCAAGTTGCTCCCAGACCATCTGCAGTTACCTGAACCCCTTGCTTTCTGTCACCTCTGTGATTTTGCACCTCTCATTCCCTCTATCTGGAATGTCCATCCCTTGGTTACCTGGCAAACCCCTGTTCATTCTCTTTAGCTCAGAGCAGTGACCACTTGGCTGAAGCATTATTCCACCGCCAGGCAGATTTAATCACTCTTTCTTCTGAGCTCCTGCTGCCCGTTGAACATACCTCTATCACATTTCAGATCACTCTGTGTTACAATTACTTATGTGTCTCTCTCTGCCAACGACAGGATGTTCAGTGAATGCAGGGACTGTATCTTGTGTATTTTGTGCCCCTTAGCATCTAGCACAAGGTCTAGTACAAGTGATCATCAAGAGAGATGTTGAATGATGGCATGAATGGATGGATGGATAGTGGGTGTTGGCTTTTTGCTGGTATCATAGGTTCTATGACACCGAAAGTCAGGGTGTATTGGCACATGACACAGCACACATCAGCTCAGTGCCTGACTGCTTAATAAGCAGTCAGTGATTAGGCTAATAAAGGTAGAGATAATGGTGATAATAAAATGGCACCCAACGCTGACCCAGAGCCACAGCCACTCTCCTGATTCCTAGTGAGTCATCCCTGGCTGGGCCTGAGCACAGGGATCATGGCTGATGGTCAGTAAACATTGGCTGAGCTGGCTCCAGACAGCCTGCTCCTGGCCCTGACTCATGCCAGCCTATGCTGGTGGCAAGGGCCTGGCCTCCACAGTCACACAGGCCTGAGTTCAAATCTCAGCACAGATAGTGATCAGTCATTGAGTAAGTTGCATACCCTGTCTGAGCTGGTTTCGTCCTCTTCCCTCTCTGGTTATGAAACACAATTCCCACTTGTAAGCTGCTGATAATGGAACACTGTCCCCCACCTTTGGAAGGCCTGCTGTCTCATGGAGAAAGCATTCTTGCTCATATTACATTGTATTATAATTCTCTCTTTAGTCTTGCTAGATTTGTCTTTATCTTCCTTGCAGAAGGTTTGGACAGGGCACAGGGAGCAACACAAGAGATACAGATGAGAAACAGACAGAAGTATAGCTCCATAACCATGTGGAGGGGTAGGGAAGAAGTTTGCGAAGGAGGAAGATAGGGCTAATGAGGGAAGCTATTTGGATGATGGAAACATTAGATAAGTTGAGGGAAAAGGCTGGGGTGGGTAGTGGAGAGGAGCACTTTCTAATGGCTGTTCACGGTTGGAGGAGGAAAGGGCAGAAAGATCCAGCCTGTAGGTTCAGAGAGGTGCAACAGTAAACTAACAGAGGCAGTTACTGAAGGAACATAGAAGATAGAATGACCTGAAATCCAGGAATCCTCTGAATTTGGCTCCTATGGGGAGACAAGGCATCTGCTCTTAGAAGAGTTGCCTCATGCATTTGCAAGGTGAAATGGGTGGTGTCTGTCAAAGTGCTGGGAAGGGCAGGGCAGGGAGAGGTGACTGGTGGCCCAAGGTCTGAGTTGGGGAGTTCTGGTGGGAGGTTAGGGGGCAAAGGAATGCAGGGCCTGTTCTGGGTTCTAAAGGATGCTTCTATTTGGAAATTTGGTTACGTCCTGGCTTGGGGGAGCTGTTGAGCAAATGGCCTGAGAGGAGGGTAGATGTTGGGGGTCACCATGGGGAAAGGGGGTGCTTGGTTAGTTGAGGCCCCAAAATGCCAGGCAGTTTGGGGCTGGATTAGCAGGCTCTGCGTAAACCATGAAGATGTGCAGACACAGGTCTGCTTACTTTGGGGGCCACTGTTCTCTTTCCTGTGACCTACAGAACATGGAGAACATTCCCCAGTGGGAGGGTGTCTCCATAGCGTGTGCCCCACCCTTGGGCATAGGGATGTATGTGTGAACATCTGGCTTGGGTGCATGTCTCTATTGTCCTGTGTTTGGGTCTGCTGTATGTCACTGAGTGAGTGCATCTTGGCTGTGCTTTTCCATGCTGTGTGTGAGTGGATGGTGGTTCTGTTTTATGGGTCTGTAGGTGTGTCTGACTTGTACGTCTTTGTGTGTGTGTGTGTGTGTGTGTGTGTGTGTGTGTGTGAGAGAGAGAGAGAGAGAGAGAGAGAGAGAGAGAGAGAGAGAGAGCTGTAGGTCTGAGTTGTATGTATCTTTGTTGTAGGGTGTGAGCTGTGCGTTTCTGTCACTCTGGGTGTCTGAGTGGTGAGTAGGTGATTGGGTAAGGGATGGGGTGCCCTTGCTGTGGCACTGGGTGCCCAGAATGGGTATATGGTTAGTTCCCTGTGGTCCATATCCTGGGGGCCTTCAGCAGAGGCCTGAATGACAACTCTTCAACTGTTGTCCCTGAGTGAATGACCTCTCATTGAGCAATAATTAACTTGGCCCCATGAAGGGAATCCAAACCGGTGGTGAAGGGGGTAGGACTGGTAGGGGCAGGCCTTATTGCTAAAGAAGGAGGGAGGCCTGAAAGGGGGTCCTATAGGCATGTGTGTTGTTATCATTCCCTCCTGCCTGCAGGTCAGTTACCCTAACCTGGGTGATATTCAAAATATTTAACAAACACTGAGGGCCAGACATTGACCAATCAGAACAGACACAAGCCATGCACTGAATGGAGCGGTCCTGAAGGCCATGGCTATGCCAAGCATTGCCCCTCTAGTTGTGGCCAATGAGAATGGATTCCAGGAGAAGGGCTGGGACAGGGGGGCCACGGAAGGGAACTCGGGGGTAGGGGGGAGCTCAGGGCAGTATCTGTGAACTAACTGCCATGGAAGTGTCTTAGACTTGAACATCTGGTGTGGCAGCTAATCCTCAGCCAGCCTTGGCCTCCAAGCAGCTGCACCAGGTCAACCCTAGATGCCCTTGCCCCTCCCATTGGGAGAGCAGTGGACTATCCTCTTCTGTCATCAGCAGGGGTGGTGGAAGTGAGCGACCCCAAACTGCAGGAATTCCAGTGACCTTGTCTGTTTTAGTTTAGGAATGGACTGCTTCATATTCCTCACTGGCTGTGATCTGACGCTCATTGAGGTGAGAGGGAGCCTGTAGGGGTCAGAGGTCAAGGGAGGGGTCAGTAGCGGATTTGGGGAGAGGGAGAGACACCCCCAGCCCCAAAGATAAACGCCAGGAAGTGAGGGGGTCCTGAACTGATCCCATCCCCTGGATTCAGACCTGTACAAAATAAATCTCATCCCCCAAAATGAAATAAGCATTCCACACCAAAAAATTAATATCCCAGTTCCCCGAGTGGCTCCAGCACTCCTTACGGTTTCTTTCTCTTGGACTCCTTCTGATAGGGGCAGGGTACACCCTGGAGGTGGGACAGTCTCTTCCACATGCACAAATTACAGTGTCAGGCTCCAAGGGTGTCATGCCTTTTATTACAAAAACCAATAACTTAGATAAGTTCTATACAAAGTCATTAGGACTCTCGGCTCAACGGGTCATCTAATCTTCCATCCCCACCTCGGGAGGGGACAGGAATCTTGGCCCAGAGGTTCTAGAAATCACTAAGGGATGGCCAGAGAGCTGGAGCACCATGTCAAACCAAGGACGGCCAAGGGGACGGGTGTGGTGGGTGCGGAGCCCCAAAGCCCATCTTGTTGGGCGAGGACCAGCTTACTCCAGAAGCGCTGCCTATACAGACTTGCCCCCTCTGGGAGCATTAGGCCACCCCCGGGAACAGCTGGGCCAAGTCAGCGCTGCCAGCCTCCGCCCAGCCTACACTTGATCTCTGCCTGGGCTGGAACAGGTTGGCTCAGCAAAAGCATGTCCTCGAGGAGGCCAGCGATGTCAGTGTCTCCAACAATAGGGCGAAAGAAGAGGTCCCCAAGCAGGCTGGGCGGAATGGACTTGAGGGTGGAGGCTGTGAGGAGGACACGGGCCAAGCGGCCCTGGCCTGCTGGGCACCAGGTCTCCAGGGCCTTGCACAGAGCATGATGAGCCTTTTGCTGCAGGTGTCCAACGTGGGAGGAGGCGTGGAGGCCCGGCACACCTGTGGGCAGAGAAGGTGAGGAGGGCTGGTGAGTACCCTGTTCCCAGGCAGCAATCCTGGCCCAAGCCCTGAGGTTGCGGGGTTGGCCTTTGAGGCCCCATTAGTACCTCCCCCATTTGTTTATTTATCATTTTATTTATCCGTCCATTTGTGGGACAGCCCAGAGTAATGGGTAAGAGCCAGGCTGCCTGGGTTTGAATCCCGCACTGTCACTTATCAGTGGCATGGCCTTGGATAAATTGATCTCTGTGCCTCAGTTTCCTCGTCCGTAAAATGGAGATAATAGTGCCTATCTCCTAGGTATGTTATGAAGTTTAAATCAGCTAGTCTATGCAAAACCCTTATAATTGAGCCTAACATATGGCAGGCATAATATGAATATTCATTACTATCACCATAGTTACTATAATTTAGATATTCCACTAGGGCTTTTTGGGGAGGAATTCTCATCTCACATTTCCATTCTTCTCTATGGGGTCCTCCTGAACCCACAGAATTTTCTGTGACGGAGGCACAGCCGTGTCTGCCCATCTTCCCGCCCCCAACTCCCACCTTCCCCGAGGGTCAGGACACTTTCTTAGATAGAGTGGCCAGGGCTAGTCTTGGGAATGCATAAACCTAAGTTCCCATCCCTGCTTTGCCCCTACCTGGCTGTGTGGACCTTCAGCAAATCCCTTAACCTCTCTGAGCCTCTTTTGTGAGGTGGCTTTTTGGTGATAATGAGGACCCAAAGAGATAACGGACGTGAAGCCCTTAGCAGGTGCCTTCCCTGGCTGGGCCCCAGGAGTGTCTAGAAGCTCACCAGGATTGAAGAGGATGGTCTCTTTCAGGTAGGCATATTCCTTGGGGCCCAGCTGCAGGCTCCAGAAGGACTCCAGGCAGCACTGAAGCCACTGCACCGCAGCCAGCGAGGGCTGGGGTCGATCTGGCAGCCGGCCGCTGCCTGAGCTGCTGCTGGGCTCCTCCAGCAAGATCTTCTTGAGTATGCTGGGAACTGGTGCCTCAGCCACCTCGAAAGTCACAGTGTCTTGGGCCAACCCCAGCAGGAAGAGGGGGCCCCAGCAGCCCCGCAGCAGCCGCTGCTGATCCTGGGGGGGGCAGTTGGCAGAAGGACGGCAGGTTCCTGAGGAAGACCACTGTTCTGGCCAGAACATCCAAGGCTTCCCGGCAGGTGCGATGGGGAGCACACAGCCGGACAGGCCGGTGCTGCCTGCACAGGCAATGACTACGGGCTGGGGGCACAGAGGGCCTGGCCCTGAGGCTAGGGCTCAGAAGTGCATACAGAATGGCCGGGCGGCCTGCAGCACCCCGACACGAGCAGGTCCCCGGCTGGCTCGAACTCATGGTTGGGGATCTGCTCCTCCTTCCTCCCAGCTCTCCCGCCCTCTGCTCTGGCTGTGGGTGCTACTTATAACCCCAGCGGGAGGGAGGGGGGAACAGCCTGACAACCTTGACTCCAGAAGTCATGTTCATTGAAAAAAAAAAAGAAACACTGCACTGACCCTGCAGGATTGGTGGGGAAGTGGTGGGGGAGGGGGCTTTGGGAGCTCCACGTGGCCCTGATATCACTTTAGTCAATGAAGCAGCCTATGCGGGGTACAGGACTGCCTGCTCGCTGGCCCGACCGCCCCTTATCAGATGACTCAAGTGGATAAACAAGGTCATTAACCCAGGCTGTACCAGGGCACCAAGGCCTCAGGTGCACCATCAGCAGGTGGTCATGGCAGGTTTCCCTATTGGTGCCCATAGGACTCTCACTAAGCTGGGAAGCCAACCCCAGAGCTGGACAAGCCTTGAATGCAAGGCCCAACCTGGAAGTGCCTTATCACTGACTTGTTTGCCTAACCTTGGGGCTTTGCTCCTGTTGTTGGTAAGGAACAGGCTGCAGGGAAGGGAGCCAGGACCCTGGGGGGCTGGGAGGACTTTGCCCACTGTGCACACTAGGAGGCCTCCCTCCTCTGACTCCAGTTCTGGGGGGGGGGGGGGCCTGCAGAAATAAGGTCCTGAAGAACTCTCTCTCCTCAGCCTGGATTCCTAAAGCTCCCGAAAGGCTGTGTCTGCTGAGAAGCCCTCCCGGAACGATATTGAAATATGGCTGCTACTTACTGAGCACCTCCTGTGGGGCAAGAACTTTCCAGTCTAATATTAGAGCTTGCCTATGAGGCAAGATTCTTACTTTTTGAAACTCAAAGAGGTGAAGTGACTTGCCCAAGGTCACACCACCAAGAAGAGACAGAGCCCAGATCTGTCTGACTCCAAAGTCCTCGCTTGTTCCCCTGGATCCGCTGGCCCAGTTGTTCAGCCAGATCTGTGTAGCCTAAGTTTTCCAGAGCTGGTGACTACCCGGGTCTCCACCTCGAAGCTACCTGGTCCACAGATACTGCCGATTTATGATCCGGGCAGAAACGCTGCTCTGCCGCCAGCCACGTGGCAACTCTGTCCCGGGCATCTGTCTCAGGACGGTGGAGCATGGGGTCGAGGAGAGGGTGGGAAGGTCCTCGGCTGTGTCGTGTTCACGGACCTTGGCAAGCCCAGCTTGGCAAGCCTTCTGCTATAGCACACGGTTGGGCAGCCATCACCATCCCTGGCACGTGCTCCTGGCTCTGTCATTTTCCAGTTGTGTGACCTTGGGCTGATCCCTTAATCTCTGTGGGCCTCAGGAGCTTCATCTGGGACAATAACACAGTGAGGTCCTAGATGTGAAATTCTAAGCAGTTTCTGGCATTCGGTAGGAGGACTTTGCTCCTCCCTTTCCTCTGCCTAAGGAACCAAGCCCCAGCAGACAAACAGGTGCACATCTTTCATTCGATTGTGAATAATCTTAATCCTTACATTTGTAAAGTTCCTTCCACAACCTTCCACAACTGAAACCTCTTCAGCATCCCCTCGAAGGAGACTGGAGTCAGACCCCTCAGGTTCAAATCCTGCCCCATCACTTAGCGTCATTGGGCAAGTCACTTTACATTGTTGTGCCTCAGTTTCATCATCTTTAAAAGGTACAAGAAAGGCCAATAGTGCATATTGAGTTTATGGGCCCTGAAGCTTCTACAATTTGGAAGGTCCTCTTTAGGAATAGAAAATCAGGTATGAAAGTGAATATTTAAAGTGAGAAAACATGGGGGGGCCTGGCTGACTCAGTCAGTAGGTAGAGCATGTGACTTTTGATCTTGGGGTTTTAAGTTTGAGCCCCATGTTGGGTGTAGAGATTATTTAAAAATTAGAAAAAAAATCTTTGTTTTTTAAATGCTTATTTCTTTTTAGGAGAAAGAGTGTAAGTGAGGGAGGTGTGGGGGGAAGGGTTGGTCAGAGGATCCAAAGAGGGCTCTGCACTGACAGCAGTGAGCCTGATGCAGGGCTTGAACTCACGAACTGTGAGATCAGGACCTGACCAAAGTCAGATACTCAACCGACTGAGCCACCCAGATGCCCCCCAAAATTTAAAAAAAAATTTTCTAATAAAATGAGAAAACTAATCACTGCCAATTACAAACTTAAAATAAGCTGACAGAAAAACATGAATGTCACAAATCCGGGAGAATAACACAATACTTTGATTAATCGCTTGACGATATTTGCCTACGTGTTTTAGCTGCACATTCTTTGCTTGCCTCTTCCCTTCCATTTCCCATCTAATCTCAGACCTCACTTAAGCTTCAGCAAATGCTCTAGAGGAAGTATTCCAGAGACAGGGCTCCGTCCACAATCTCAACGCTGCATCTGTCATGTCTCTTTAGTCTCTGTCAGTCAGGAAAAGTCCCTCAGTCTTTCCTTGCCTTTCACGACCTTGACGCTTTTGAAGAGTTGTAGTTAGTTTGTAGCAAGGCTCTCAATTTTGGGTTTGTCTAAGGCTTCCTTGTGATTAGACTCAGATTATGTACCTTTAGCAGGAATATCACAGAAGTGAGGTGTTCTTGATTCATTCTATCAGATAGCACACATTTCCATCTGTCCTGTGGTTCTCGTTGGTCACCCGAGTAAGGTGATGTCTGCCAGGCCTCTCCACTATACTTACTCTCTTCCCCTTTGTAATGAATCTGTAGTTTGTGAGGAGGTATTTTGAAAATGTAGATACATACCTTCTCATAGTTTGAATGCATGTATGTGTGTATTTATTTATGAACTCATGTTCTCCTATTTTGTTTAGCGGCTTGTAATCTGTTACTATCGCTATTTATTTGAATGCTCAGATTGTCACAGATTTGGCCCACGGGAGCTCTTTCAAGCTGGAGTCTGTCCTTTTGTCATGCCCCATCATTCTTTGAACATCCTTTGTTTTCCGGTCTAAGCAGATACCTCTTTTCAACCCCTGCAATCAACCAGTACTCCAAGAAGCTCTGGTTCAATCTTTTAGTGGAGAGGAGTATTTAAAAACCATGATCTGGGTACTGGGAGGGTAATTAGAAACCTGGACTTGCTCACTGTTATGAGGGTGTCACTGCTCCCAGGCCCTTCCAGAATTAAGGAGAGTACACCCCCCCCCCACACTTACAGTTATATTTATTTCTATATCTATTTATACATACTATAAAACATGGGTTCAGACTATTACCTGCAATTCGAATCTACTATAACAGGGTTCATTCTCATTCTCCCCTTTTTATATTTATAACTCCCTTCTCCAACACCGAGAAATCTGGCTTTCATCACTCTGAATTTATTCACTTATTGGGTCTATTTATAATCAGTCTCCCATATTTACCACCACCCGATTCCCTACGAAACGCCCTCCTTACCCCACTTGGGCTCTGATAGCTTGTGTCTGGCTGCCCCCTCCCACTCAGGGACACTTTCTTCACCTTGCTGGACCCCATGCCATATGGCCACCTTCCTCACCCTGCTGGGGCTCTGACTTTTGCTCTGGGCCACTGTGGCTCCCTCCCCCTTATTTCTTCAGGGGCACCTGGGTAGCTTATTTGGTTGAACGTCAGACTTCGGCTCAGTTCATGATCTCACTCGTGAGTTCTAGCCCCACATGGGGCTCTCTGCTGTCAGCACAGAGCCCGTTTTGGATCCTCTGTCTGCCTCTCTCTCTGCCCCTCCTCTGCTCATGCTCTCTCTCTCAAAAATAAATATTTTAAAAAATTAAAAAAATTTTAAAATAAATTCCTTCAGTGAAAATGGAGCGATGATTCTGTCTTTCCTCTGGAATGGTTGATCAAAAACAGGTTTTATTCTTTTTTTTTTTTCTTTTTTAGGAATAAAAACATGTCTTATTCTTGATAGCCAGGATACTTCACACAGATGTTTCTGATACTTGTAGTTGTGCTTATAGGTTTGTAGTAGGAATTTTGATAAATTCTACTTTGCGTAATTACTATCAAAAAAGAAATATATGCGTGGAGTATTTATTTATTAAAAAAATTTTTTTTAACGTTTATTTATTTTTTGAGAGAGAGAGACAGAGCACAAGCAGGGGAGGGGCAGAGGTAGAGGGAGACGCAGAATCCAAAGTAGGCTCCAGGCTCTGAGCTGTTAGCACAGAGCCCGACATGGGGCTCGAACTCACCGACTGTGAGATGATGACCTGAGCTGAAGTCAGACGCTCAACCGACTGAGCCACCCAGGTGCCTGCCTCTATGCACGGAGTATTTATAATTGTATATGCTGCATATTCTTTATAGGAGAGAACTTCCATTTTGAGTTGGTATCACTATGAAGTGACAATTTAATGATGATTGAAAGAATTTTGTACAGATTTGCTTCTTCTCTTTACATGTCCTTCTTTCTCCTCCACCACCCAGGTTCTTCCCAGGTGTCTTGGGAATCACTCATAGTGGGAAGTGGGATAGAGTGGGCAAAAAACAGTGCAAACAGTGGTCTTGAGCAATTATAATTTGAACTTTTTATTTTTGCAAAATAAAAAGAATATATATATATTAAAGCTTTAATTTATTTTGAGAGAGAGTGCACAGGGGAGGGGCAGAGAGAGAGGGAGACAGAATCCCAAGCAGGTTCCATACTGTTAGCTCAGAGTCCAATGCGGGGCTCAAACTTGAACTCATGAACTATGAGTATTTATATCTATCTATAAAATATCTATATCTATAAAATATATCTATAAAATATCTATAACTATAAAATATCTATAACTGTAAAATATCTATAAAACGTTTATAAAACATCTATATATCTATATCTATATCTATATCTATATCTATATCTATATCTATATAAAGAAGACCTTGCCCAGCCTCTTCCCAAAGCATTGGATGTGCAAGTGAAGGGCGCTGAGGTTCAAGTTTCATTAGATTCACAGAAAATATGCCTCTAATAATGCCTTTCCTAGGTGTTTTTCAGGACACAAAGAGCCTGGCACACAGCAAGTGCTCAGTAAAGGAAGGGCAGTGGTCATTATTATTGCTCTTGCTTTCACCCTCATTTTCTAAAGGAGGCAGTGGAGGAGGAGGAGAAGGAGACCCCTCTGTGGGGGGTGGTCATGTAAAGCTGGACTCCA